CTGCCCGGCATGGCGGCACCGGCATACGTGACCCTCTCGACCGTGCCGCAGCCGCCTACCCCGCTTCCCGCGCGAGCACCAAGGTGGTCTCCAAGTCCGTCCAAGGCAAGGCTCCGTTCCACCCTGGCGACCATCGTGCCACCATCCGCCACGCCCTCACCCGGAGCAAGCAGCAGCAGGACGTCGCCCACAAGACCAAGAGGGAGGCCGCCCTGCCGCACATCGACCGCCGGCGCCATCGCGTCCTCTCCCGCAGCGCCGAGTACAAGACGTCCGGCTGGCTGACCACCCTCCCGTCGACAGACAACAACACTGGTCTTGATGCTGCGGAGTTTCGAGATGCCCTCAACATGCGTTACGGCCGTCACCCCCCCGGCCTCGCTGCACGCTGCGACCACTGCAACCAGCCCCTCACCGTCGACCATGCGCTGTGCTGCAAGCGGTACGGCCTGGTGATTCGTCGCCACGACGAGCTGCGGGACACTTTTGCCGAGCTGATTGGGATGGCGTGGGGGGACGCTGGTGTGCGTCGGGAGGTGGTGTTGAAGGAGGGAGAGGAGGGGGAGGGTGGGGTCAGGGCGGACATCGTCGCTCGGGGCGTGTGGGAGCGGCAGGCGGCTGCGTCGTTTGACATCTGTATTACGGATCCTGACGCAACGTCTTACGCTTCCAAGAACCGATCGACCAAGTCCATCCTGAAGCAGCACGAGACCGCCAAGAAGAACAAATAGCGCTCGGCCGTCTGCGACTCCCGCGTGACCTTCTGCCCTCTGGTGTTGACGTGTGACGGTGTGTGGGGACACGATGCTAACGTGTTCATCGCCCACATGGCTCATGCGCTGTTGGAGAAGGAGGGGTGGAAGGGTTGGGGGTTCAGTCATGTGTCTGGATGGATTCGCTCTCGCTTGTCTATCGCCCTCGCACGTGCGACTAGCTTCTGTCTGCGTGGGGGAGGGAGGGGAGGGTTTGCAGGACTGGGGTGTCTTGATGGAGCGGGGATTGATCCCTCCTCCCCTTGAGCCTGTTTGACTCTGCGTGCTGATGGGACTGTATTTGTATGAGTATCACGGACACACAGACGAGTCTTACGGTTAATGACAGTTTCCCCCCCTGTATGTGTCAGAGATGGCCGCATTGCGCCAAGTCTGTTGGCTCCGTCCCGGTGCCCCACAACAAACTTACCATCGTCTTCATTACGAAAGGGTCATTATTCGTTAACACACGGACTCCTGACATGCTCTCCTTCGTTGGCTTGAGCCGTAGCTGTGCTTGGTGCTGGTCAGATGCTCCTTCTGCAGACCACCAGGAAGTGGGTGGATGCATTGCCGTCCTTTATGTCACCGTGTTGGGCGAGGACATACTTAGGTCCCTGGTGCCAGAGGCTCGAGGGCTCACGGTGACGTCACACAAGGAGGAGGCACATTCCGAATGCTTGGTGTTGTGTGCGACGCGTCACGACCCATCTGCGCCTCGACGAGGCATGCATTTCCTTAGGCATTTTCCAAATCATTCTGTCCGCCAGCGAGAGGGCTTGACGGTGGTGTGGGCAGCGGGACTTTTGGAGCAATTGCGGAACTTTCTGGAGGACGTTTGTTTCTGTGTGCATACGGCTGAGCATCTGGAGGGAGCCAGGGGGACCTTGCCGCCCCTTCAAAAGTTCCGCTCGCCCCTCTGCTGCCCCACAAGAGTTCCGCCGGCCCCTCTGCTGCCCTCTGCTGCCCTCTGCTGCCCTTCAAAAGTTCCGCCGGCCTCTCAGCCGGTCTTTATCTCAGCGCTGAGGGTGCTGCTGCCGTCAAACAGCACTCACAAGGAGCATGGCTCGTGCATTGTGCGTGTGCGTGTGTGCTGCGCTTCAATGGCCGGCTGCATCGACAGAGAAAGAGAGGGCGGATATCTCTGTGTGTGGCCAATCTCTCTCTCTCTCTCTCTGTGTGGGTGGGTGGGTGGGTGTGTGGAAACGTCTGACCATTCTGCCGCTCGTCGGGTGAAGACACTGAACTCATTGCGACACATTGCTCTCTCCCTGCCGCTGCACACACACACACACTCATAGACAGGGAGGGTGCGTGGCGGGCTTGCTGCTGCACACACACACACACTTGTGCGGCGGAGGGGTGCGTGGCTGTCGAGTATCTGCACACACACACACTCATAGACAGGGAGGGTGCGTGGCGGGCTTGCTGCTGCACACACACGCACTTGTGTGTCGGGGGGGTGCGTGGCTGTCGAGTATCTGCACACACACACACTCATAGACAGGGAGGGTGCGTGGCGGGCTTGCTGCTGCACACACACACACACACTTGTGTGTCGGGGGGGTGCGTGGCTGTCAAGTATCTGCACACACACACACTCATAGACAAAGAGGTGTCGATATTGCCTGCAGTCGCCGGTCGTCGTTCATTGCGGGGTGTCCCCGGCGCGTGAGGCGACTGCTGCACGACGATGTGTCACTCACTGCAGGCGGGTGCACAAGCAAGCAGCAGTCGGGCAGGTGTGTGTGTCTGTGTGAGTGAGTGTCGTGTGCGGTGTCATTCCTTCGTGTGTAGGTGTGCGTGTGCCTGGCATCGGTGCGTCTGTGCGGCCGTCAGTCCACTTGTCGAGGAGAGAGGCGCGCATGAAGGTACCTACGTCCATGTCCATGCTGTCGGGACTGAGGCAGGCAAAGAGGTGCCTGCGTGTGTGTGTGTGTGTGTGTGTGCGTGTGGTGTGTGTGTTGGTTGTGCTCGGCAGCTGTCGCTGTCTATGTCGCTGGCGACGAGCGCAGAGGAGAGGCACCGAGTTGGTGGGCAAACAAGCACACACGTGTGGATGAAGATGCGCACACAGACCGCTCACACACGCCGCTCTGTCGCTGTGTGCATGTGTCTGATCTCGTCAGTGGATCTGTCCTTCCTGGACCTGATTGGGCGGAAGAGGCAGCTCTCCAGCTACCAAGACGCACGGTAGGTACCGTGCACACCTGCACATGCCATCCACCAACCCACACACACGTGTGTCGTGTCCATGTGTTGATTCGATTCAATCCATTCATCCGCCAGGCTTCACGTGATCCTGTTGAATCGGCCGCTGCCCGACTACGTGCCCGCGCTCATGCGCCTCTCCACCATTGTCGTGTGCGCGGACGGCGGCGCAAACCGCCTGTACGATCAGGTGGGTACCTGCCTGTGACACTCTCACACAGCCCCACACCTGTCTGTCTGCCTGTCTGTCTGTCTGTTTGAATGTGCCTCGCCTCTCTCTCTCTCTCTCTCTCCCTCTCTCTTTTGCTGTCTGTCAGTTCACTCGTGAGCACGAGGCGCGCATCAACGGCAAGCAGAAGAGCGACAACGGGCACGATGACAGCACCCCGCTGGAAAGGTGTGGTTGGCACATTGATGGACACCGCGCACTGAGCTGATGGATGGTGCAACAATGCACTTTATGGATGCATGTGTGTAGGATCGACGAGGCGGCGATACCTCAGCCGGCAAGGTCCATGTCCGTGCCAGCCATCAAACACAAAAGGTGCTCACGCCATTCCTGTGCACTCTTGAGTTCATACGGCGCATGTGGGTGCCCACATGTGCCTTCTGATACGAGACGCGTGTGAATGCATGTGTGTTTCAGGGATGGGAGCAGGTGCGAACACGCCGGTCGGCTGTCGCTCATACGGAGGGCCACAAGACGGCCGTCGATGATGTCACTCGCTGGTGGGTATTGTAATATACACACAGCACCATGGCATAGCGGTTGTGGCGCATGTGTCCATGTGTGTGTGTGTGTGTGTGTGTGTGTGTCGACGAATCAGCGTTTGTCGGTCCTGACGAGCCGCTGCTTCTGCCGTCGCACATATGTGGCGACCTCGACTCTGTCAGGCCAGACGTACGCACCACCTCTCTCTCACGCGAAGCCCAGCTCTGAACATGCATTCAGCCATCGACCCATCTTTCAGGTGTTGGAGTACTTCAAGGATCGGGAGGT